CCCCCCCCCCCCCATCTTCACAGAACCTCAACTAATGTTATTTAAAAAGTTTAAAAGTATATATCAAATTATAATTCCTCCCCCCCCCCTCCCCCTAAACTCAGCTTACAATGGTCTTTTACTTTGGCGTATATGAGTGTCAGGGGGGGACGCGGGTAGAGAGGGGGGAGAGTGGGAGCTTTTGTTTTCGCATAGAGGCAGTGAGAGTGTATGGCCATGAAAATAAAAAGAGTATGAATATTGCAATATAAATAGCACTATGCTTAGATGTTTTATGAACAGACTACGCTGTGCTCTGAACAATGCAAGTATGCATCTATAATATACAGGTGCTCACTGCTCACTGCATAGCTAAACAAAATATCTTGGGCCCATCGCATAAAGTATTTTTTTATGAATCTATGAAAAACAGGATAGGCATAAGAATTAAGCCTTAATCGACATTTGACTTTTAATCTCAAAAACAAATGTCAAGTAAAATCATGTTAAATGCTTTAAATAATTACAAAAAATATTACAAAAAATATTCATTTCTTTTTCTTTCTTGGATCACCCTGTTGTGAAAAAGCTAGCTAAACCTTAAATTATACTAAATGCATAAAAACGCCTATTTTTCATTTTTAAACTATATTCACCTGCAATTTCTAGTCTCTAGATCCACCCCCTTCCCCCCATCCCAACCCCACTTCATCTAATCATAGTTTTACAAATCCTTCCCACCCCCTTTTCTTCTGAACATGATCCTTCTGTAGTAAATGCCCAACTCCAATATATACTTTTAGATCAGTACCAATCCAGGTACAACTCAATCTCGAACTCCAGGTTCTCCAATAATACATTGGTTAGTATTAATGAGAATAGAACTCAGTCTGTATTCTCAGGTATCTGTCTTACAAGATACAACTCAATCCCTCTTGTTAATACAATAGAACTATTCCGTTCAATAATACGGAACCATTTCAGGAATATCCTTCTGTATTCTCAGGTATCTATGTTTTAAGATACAACTCACTGTAATTCCCAATCTATAAATATATATATATATATATATCTTTCATTAAAGTAATTAAGGACGCTTCTCCTTCGCTAACCAAGAAACAATTACATCACACCGTAATCAAAGCAGAGAATTATTCCAGCTGATTTATTTTGAGTTCTATGTTACAGGTTAAGTTAATGAATGTAATTACAAGTTTTGCGTCATTATATACAAGTGTAGTTAAGCTAATCACAATAAAGGTTTGATGTAGTTATTTGCAGGCGTAGTTGAGTAGAGAGAGAAATAAGGAGCTGGATAGAGAACTAAAGAGCTGGATAGAGAACTAAAGAACTGGATAGAAAACTAAAGAACTGGATAAAAAACTAAAGAACTGGATAGAGAACTAAAGAACTGGATAGAAAACTAAAGAACTGGATAGAAAACTAAAGAACTGGATAGAGAACTAAAGAACTGGATAGAAAACTAAAGAACTGGAGAGAAAACTAAAGAACTGGATAGAAAACTAAAGAGCTGACTGGAGAGAAAACTAAAGAACTGGATAGAAAACTAAAGAACTGGAGAGAAAACTAAAGAACTGGATAGAAAACTAAAGAACTAAAGGGCTAAAGAGTTAACCAAGCGTAAGGAGAATTAAACCGAGAAAACTACTTATATTACATCACACTGTATCATGCTGAGTTGTTATATATCATCTGTGCCGGTCAGTTAGCTGACGTTCTGTGCGTAGAGTAGGTGGGGGGGGGGATATAATTTTGACAATTTATGGTGATGTAATTGGTGTTTAGTTCCGTTGTTAGGTCTTGTAATAAGTTATAACGTTCTAACTAAAACATGAGTGTCACTCTAATGACCAATAAGATCAGGATGTTCAGTGTTCAGTGTTCAGTGTTTAGGATGTTCAGTGTTTAGTGTTTAGGATGTTCATTGTTTAGTGTTCAGGATGTTCAGTGTTTAGTGTTCAGGATGTTCAGTGTTCAGTGTTCAGGATGTTCAGTGTTTAGTGTTCAGTGTTCAGGATGTTTAGTGTTTAGTGTTCAGGATGTTTAGTGTTTAGTGTTCAGGATGTTCAGTGTTTAGTGTTCAGGATGTTCAGTGTTCAGTGTTCAGGATGTTAAGTGTTTAGTGTTCAAGATGTTACACTTTAGTGTTCAGGATGTTCAGTGCTTAGTGCTTAGTGTTCAGGATGTTCAGTGCTTAGTGTTCAGAATGTTCAGTGTTTAGTGTTCAGGATGTTAAGTGTTTAGTGTTCAGGATGTTCAGTGCTTAGTGTTCAGGATGTTCAGTGCTTAGTGTTCAGAATGTTCAGTGTTTAGTGTGCAATATGGTGTGAACTTGACGTGCATATTGCGCCCAATCAGTTCAGTTCAGCCAATTTGACAGACCAAAAAATCAATACTAAATCTATATAAAGAATATAGATGTTCTGTGCGTACTGTGTAATCAAAGTATATAGTATAAGCGTTTGTACTCTGTACTCCAAGTATGAATATATAAGCGTTTGTACTCTGTACTCCAAGTATGAATATAAGGATGTGTACTATGTAATCCAAGTATGAATATATATTGGTGCACTTTGTGCTCCTAGTATGACTATATAAGGGTGTGTACTATGTAATCCAAGTATGAATACATAAGGGTGCATTATGTACTCCAAGTATGAATATATAAGGGTGTAATGTAGCGACGAAAGGAATAAGACCAAATGAATAAGACCAAATAAATAAGACTAAATAAACTGACTGAATATATATTTATCAAAAACAGTATTTATACTAGATGCAGTATATCATAATCTAAACAATAACATGTGAAGTATGGAATATGCTGTGTACTGCATTCCAGGAATCCAGGGGCGCCACAGTAATATGTAATCCAAGTATGAATGTATGAGGATGTGTACCATGTACTCCAAGTATGAATTTATGAGGATGTGTACTATTACTCCAAGTATGAATATATAAGGGTATACTATGCACTCCAAGCATGAATATATAAGGATGTAAACTATGTACTCCAAGCATGAATATATAAGGGTATACTATGTACTCCAAGTATGAATATATAAGGATGTGTACTATTTACTCCAAGTATGAATGTATGAGGATGTGTACTATTACTCCAAGTATTAATGTATAAGGATGTGTACCTGTGTGTATATATAAGGATGTTTACTATGTACTCGAAGTATGAATATATAAGGGCGTACTATGTACTCAAAGTATGACTATATAAGGGTGTGTACTATGGACTCCAAGTATTAATACTAAATCTATATAAAGAATATAGATGTTCTGTGCGTACTGTGTAATCAAAGTACATGGTATAAGCGTTTGTACTCTGTACTCCAAGTATGAATATATAAGCGTTTGTACTCTGTACTCCAAGTATGAATATATAAGGATGTGTACTATGTACTCCAAGTATGAATATATAAGGGTGTACTATGTACTCCAAGTATGAATATTTAAGGATGTGTGCTATGTACTCCAGGTATGAATATATAAGGGTGTACTATGTACTCCATGAATGAATGTGAGTGTTATGATGGTATCTTTGAAGAAGATTGTTTGTTCGTTTTACTACTTAAAGAGTTTTTTGCAGTAGAGAGTTTTTTGACAACGTTTAATTGATACATAATGCATTCTCTCATCCTTAAACAGTAGAAATAGCTGCGGGGATATATAGAAGATATAGCTTCAAGGAGGGGGGGGGCTTGCATTCAAATCTCCGATCGTGTACTTTTTAAATAGGTAGAGAACTCTTCAATTACAGAGTTGACTGCCCGATTCACAACTCTTCAATTACAGAGTTGGCTGCCCGATTCACAACTCTTCAATTACAGAGTTGGCTGCCCGATACACAACTCTTCAATTACAGAGTTGGCTGCCCGATTCACAACTCTTCAATTACAGAGTTGTCTGTCCAATTCACAACCCTTCAATTACAGAGTTGGCTGCCCGATTCACAACTCTTCAATTACAGAGTTGGCTGCCCGATTCACAACTCTTCAATTACAGAGTTGTCTGTCCGATTCACAACCCTTCAATTACAGAGTTGGCTGCCCGATTCACAACCCTTCAATTACAGAGTTGGTTGCCCGATTCACAACCCTTCAATTACAGAGTTAGCTGCCCGATTCACAACGGAACCCTTTAAGCCTTTGTCTGATAAAAAATTAAAATGATATTTTAGTTATTTTGTAGTAAAAATTCACAATTTTCTAATTGTGGTAAAAACTTGTGAATGTATGCAGCTGAAAGAAGGAATACAATTATCAGAATTCACATGATTTTAGATTATAAAAACGTCTATATCTCCCTCCTTCTTCCTCGAATAAAGCTATAAAGGGTACAGTTGTGAAACTCTAATTTGAATTACGTTGACAGTCCCTTGAAATACTGCTAAAAATCCTGTCATCTACTTTAAATAAAGGTTTTCTCTCTGGTTTTAATTACTGGATGCTTAAGCTCTTAATTAAGAAATCTCCGGGAGTTATTCGGACAAATAAATTCACATCACTTCTACACTTCATACAACAGACCACCCCAGCAACCCCCCCCCCCCTAATGTATAAATAGAGCCTGTAAACTCCTCTAATAAACATGGATCCTTCCATGCTTATTTCCAAGGATTCTCAAACATTAATATGCATAAAAGCTTATGGTAGAAATGTAAACAAACTGAGTTCATAAATATTTTTGTGAGAGAGAATGTTTTATGGATTATCTTACCTTGCGTTTTGATATGCTTTCCCCTCCTCATCTATCTCCTGACCAGCCTCCTGATCACGTGACCGGCGCAGCTGCTCCACGCGGAGCAGGAAATCAAGCTGAGAGAGGTTGCTAGAGCGTAGGAATCTCCTAAACTGGGTCAACTTCACCAGCTCAGCCTGAAACACGATCAAATATCAATTCTTTATTTTATTTTTTTATTTTTTTGGGGGGGGGGGTTGCTTGTTTTTGTAAAGGTGGGTTCAGGAAGAGACGTTCATATTCTCGTTTTAACATTGGGTTCAGTATCAAATTAAGAAACTAAGGGTAGATTCAAGTGAACTATCATAACTAGCAATTCTTAGCAACTGTCTGAATTTAATTGGCAGCTCCCAGCCTGAGCAGTTGTTCTTCAAAGCTTGATAAGCTGTATTTCCAGCTGTTTTTCTAAACCAGATCATCTGTTATACCTGAGTAAGAAGACGAGCCGAGGTTCCAGATTTCTGTAGGTGGCGCCGAGCAGCGTGAGTTGATCTAGAACTTAACCCTCCGGGTTGGATGGATCCTGGAATAAAATTGAATTTAAGAATATTAAAAAAGGTTTAAAATCTTTAACCTAAAAATGTCGAAATATTTGATCTGATTTCTCACCTAAAACTCAAAAGTTTAAAATCATTGTAACATGATATTTCAAGCTATGAATTATGTTAGATCCAATAATCAAAGTTTAAAATATCATCAGGTTGAACATATATAGGGATTAAAGAATTTTAGTTTCGGGTGTGTTATAACCAGTGCCTTTCGTGGTCTTCTGATCAATTAATCTAATTTCTTTGGAACCAAGTTTTTATAATAATTTATCGTCCGCAGCATGTATCTACCTATGTGTATTAATTACATATTCTAACCTTAGGTCTATATCAGAGAGTATTATCATACAGAGAGCTCTCAGATGTATTTTGTTAATTTTGTAACTATACAGTTTTAGAAGAATTAACAGTTATATTAATCAGTTGTATTTCATACTCTGAGTTGCTTTGAACAAGTTTTACTGACAACTCTGTTAAATCTTTAAACTCTTTGGTCTCGGTCGAAGATAAATTATCTTAGGAACTAAATCTTTCCTTCGCTTTTGAGGCGGTTTAATTATTTAAAGAGTTGAATCTTTTTTCAAGAGGATCTAGATTTTTTGTCGGAGTAGATGTTGCTTAAATCAGATCCCTTTCTTCTAGCTCCTGGTTTAGTTTAGAATAAAAGCTTCTGGTTTAGTATGGGATCCTAGCTTCTGGTTTAGTCTAGAGTCCTAACTCCTGATTCAGTCTAGAATCCTAGCTCCTGGTTTAGTTTAGAGTTTTAACTCCTTGTTTAGTCTAGAATCCTAGCTCCTGGTTTAGTTTAGTATCAAAGCTTCTGGTTTAGTATAGAATCCTAGCTCCTGGTTAAGTCTGGTATCCTAACTCCAGGTTTAGTATAGAATCCTAACTCCTGATTCAGTCTAGAATCCTAGCTCCTGGTTTAGTTTAGAGTTTTAACTCCTTGTTTAGTCTAGAATCCTAGCTCCTGGTTTATTCTAGAATCCTAGCTCCTGGTTTAGTCTAGAATACTAGCTTCTGGTTTAGTTTAGAATCCTAGCTCATGGTTTAGTCTAGAATCCTAGCTCCTGGTTTAGTCTAGAATCCATGCTCCTGGTTTAGTCTAGAATCCTAGCTCCTGGTTTAGTCTAGAATCCTAGCTCCTGGTTTAGTTTAGAATCCTAGCTTCTGGTTAAGTTTAGAATCCTAGCTCCTGGTTTAGTCTGGTATCCTAGCTCCTGGTTTAGTCTAGAATCCTAGCTCCTGGTTTCGTCTAGAATCCTAGCTCCTGGTTTAGTCTAGAATCCATGCTCCTGGTTTAGTCTAGAATACTAGCTCCTGGTTTAGTCTAGAATACTAGCTCCTGGTTTAGTCTAGAATACTAGCTCATGGTTTAGTCTAGAATACTAGCTCATGGTTCAGTTTAGAATCCTAGCTCCTGGTTTAGTCTAGAATACTAGCTTCTGGTTTTGTCTCAGATTAATCTTGCTTGAGATTGTCGCAATATATCTTGAGTATAAACAGATCATAAACCTTTTATCCCAGAGATGATAAACGTTCAATGGGTCCATAGCTTCAGAATAAAATATTAAGATGGAAGTATTAAACGGATTAAAGGAACAAGACGGGTTGAAAATCAAAGGTATTGTTTTTATAATCATATGTTAGAGAGATTAATCCTGTGAGCTAAGATCAGAACAAAATTCGAATGATGTGGATAAATCATATTCCGCCCACAGGTTCCTTAACCCTCATAATCCTTTGCAATTTAGAAAAGGTTGCATTAAATTGTCCAATGTCCAGGTTTTTATAATTAATTAAGCAGTTTAAAATGTTTATGAGGGAGATTTGTTATTTTTATTCAATTCAATTCTACTCGCATGATCGAAATATTTATTTATTCACCTACTCCCTACCTTCCTCATCATCCTACTCCTTCATACCTCCTTAAATTACCTCCATGCTTTCCCCTCAACCTACCTCTTCCTCCCTCCTTAAACTACTTCTTTTGTCTCCCCTCGACCTACCTTCTACCTCCCTTCTATATCTACCTACTCCCTCCCTCCTCAACCTATCTACTCCCTCCCTTCTCAATCTACCTACTCCCCCTCTCCTCGCCCTACCTAATCCCTCCCTCCTCAACCTATCTATTCCCTCCCTTCTCAATCTGCCTACTCCCACTCTCCTCGCCCTTCCTAATCCCTCCCTCCTCGAACTATTTACTCCCTCCCTCCTCACTCTCTCTACTCCCTCCCTTCTCAATCTGCCTACTCCCACTCTCCTCGCCCTTCCTAATCCCTCCCTCCTCCACCTATTTACTCCCTCCCTCCTCAACCTATCTACTCCCTCCCTTCTCAATCTGCCTTCTCCCACTCTCCTCGCCCTACCTAATCCCTCCCTCCTCCACCCACTTTCAACCACCCTCCTTAAGTTACCCTTGCATCAAAGAATTCATTTGAATTGTTGTACTTAATTTTAGCAACAATCGGAAAGGGTACCATTGCATTCAACTTTTTAAATGGAGAGTCAGTTGCAACTAAATCAACATCTCCCCTTTACTAATGATTATTAAGCTCTCATACTTGATTAGTCTAACAATAAAAATATTTCTTTATCAAACCTTTAGACCGGAACACAAGATACTTTAAAACTATAAATTCACTTTTTGAGAACATATTTTCTTGTTTAATTAACAAAACAAAAACAATAGTAATAGAAGGACACGGTAAGTAAGTTCAGCCTAAAAAGGGTTGATTTATTACTCTGTTTAGCGATAAATTGGTCGAGGAATGTAAAAGTGCCGCAAATATCGACGAATAACGAGGTTTACAGGGATATTATCATTTGTTCAGGGTTTATGCGTCTATGCATTAATCTATAGTATTAATTGAAACCACTATTTATTGTCTTTTAATGAAATGTGTTAATAAAAACTGAAATTCACTATTCAATGCAAAGAGAGTATTATTGTGAGATGAATAAGGGGGTTCTTAGAATAAAAGAAACAAAATAAGTATAGAAAACAGCAAAATAAGTATAGAAAACAGCAAAATAAGTACAGAAAACAGCAAAATAAGTATGAGAATGAGAGGGGGAGAGGGAAGAAGGGACATGCTGAAATATATTCAACAGTTTAAGACGATTAGGATTAACTAAATGTAAAAAGTGAAGATACAAATGAGTAGATCTGTATCTAGGAGCAAAAACTTGTCAGTAAAAGTCACAGACTAATAGTTTTTTTGCAGAGAAAACAATTTGCAAAAAGGTGAAAACCAACTTGAACAGGACAGGGCACTTAGATATTCTCACTTTATCTAAATATCTTAACTATTCTGTATTCAGAGACGTAAAAGAAGAAGAAAATGATTATTTGCTTTGAAAGTTTATCCTTATACAGACATAGATATCCATCCAGTTCGTCTCAACATTCAGATTTTCCATTTTCTTTAGATATTTCGACATTCGTTCATGTGTCTTGTATTGATGGGTAGAGATGGGTATAGATTAGACAATATAGGTTTTACAAATTGAAAATAGTTTCTCCCACATGGACACATAGATAGATAGACAGATGATAGGTACAGATAACAGAAATTTCAGATATTTCCAGGGATAAGAAGTAGGAGTTTTGGGAGATGTAAGATGAGAAGAAGGAGAAGGGTTAGAAGGTGTAGAATGAGAAGGATTAGGAGATGTAGGATGTGAAGGAGAAGGATGAGGCGTAGAATGAGAACGAGGAGAAGGATTAGTTATGTATTGTGAAGGAGTACATTATAAGAAGGAGTAAATTAGAGGAAGGATGAGAAGGGGAGAAAGATTAGGAGGTGTGGGATGAGAAGGAGAAGGATTGAGAGTTGTAGGATGAAAAGGAGAAAAAGGTCAGGAGTTATTGAAGGAAAAGAAGGATAAGGAAAATTGGAATGATAGATGAACCAATAGAAGAAGTGGAATGATGAGAAGAACAAATAGAAGAAGTGGGATGATAAGAAGAACCCAAAGAGGAAGTGGGATGATAAGAAGAACAAATAGAGGAAGTGGGATGATAAGAAGAACAAATAGAAGAAGTGGGATGATAAGAAGAACCCAAAGAGGAAGTGGGATGATAAGAAGAACAAATAGAGGAAGTGGGATGATAAGAAGAACAAATAGAGGAAGTGGGATGATAAGAAGAACAAATAGAAGAAGTGGGATGATAAGAAGAACCAATAGAAGAAGTGGGATGATAAGAAGAACAAGAAGTGGGATGATAAGAAGAACAAATAGAAGAAGTGGGATGATAAGAAGAACCAATAGAAGAAGTGGGATGGTTGGAATGAATAAAATTGAAGAAGTGGTATAAGGAGAAAATACGCAATGCCTAAAATCAATGTTTTGAATTCAAGTAGGCACCGAATTAAGATAAAGAAGTGTGTATTGTATGTAAGCGTAAATCTGTTTGAATGTTTAGATCTTAAGTGCGTTTATCTGATAACCTTAGAATTCGGGTTTATTGTGAAAACTAGATAACAGTAAAGTTAGGTATTCTTCAATGATTGGGTAATCTGTATTTATAGACGAACAGATGGATATTATATATTGATAGATGGATAGTGAGGAATGTACATGAAAAGATAGATGACTGGACACAAGCAAAATTTTTCAAATTTCCTTTTGGCTCTTAAAGTTGCTGTAGACTAGAAAGTGACCTTTTTTAAAGTCATATTTCTGATTCACACTAAGTCACAAATCAGGAAGATATTGGTGTTTTTCTATCTGAAAACGTGTTGAATTATTTTAACTTTCTTCATTGTCTCTTTTATAGAGAAACTATAAATTAAAAAAATAAATTTTCAACACGACAATAAAGGATATCTCATTAATATTTAATCAGAAAGTTTGAGGGGTACAGTTGTAATTGAACAATCACCTCTACAAATTTAAGGTCGCATGAAATTACGTCTTGATTCCCTTTAACTCCACATTTTTAGGCACCCATTCTCCCTTTAATGACACCTCTGGTTCAAACCATATTTCTACCATATGGGATGAAACTGCAGTATATTTGGTATCTAGTAACTAGATGTCAGGAATTTAAACGCCGCCGTCATAATTCATGGAAAGAGAAGCATGCGGGGGGTTCAACTTCTGCAAATTTAGTTTTTTTCTCGTTGATTTTTTTAAATATCTAGCAAAATATCAAATTCATTTTTGGATCTGTAGTTTCAGTGCACAGTGGTTCAAAGGTTTCGAGCTCTCACGCAAAAATCATGAAATTTTCTCCTTAAAACTTAAAGTAAAAGCAAGTGCTTTAGACTTATAAATTGTACGGATCTAAGGCTACAAAAAGTATAATGAGTTAGTGAGAAAATATCAATTCCCAGGGAGGTGGAATACTTCGAAACCAACCCAGACTTGAAAATTGATACATTTTTCATTGCAACCTGGATCTACGTGAATGTTTAGTTTGAAAATGTATGAATACCGCATGTATCCATGTAGGTTTATGGCACAGGTCCAAGATTTAATACATTTTTAGTAATATTTCAAGAGTCCTGTCATACAAGCCAAAGTTCTATTATCATCTGAGTCTTATAAATAAAAACGTGCTCTCACAAAATATATCTAGTATTGATTTAAAAACTGAGCTTTTAAATGGACGGAGCTTATTTAAATCGATTCACATGAGCGGAGTTAAACCAGAGGTCAGAACTTTTAACTAAACTTAAGCTTAATTCCACAGTTTTTTAATCAAGGGATTAAGTAATCTAATCTCATTTCAATTCATTTTATTGTGTTTTGAACCCTGGCTTCTATAGGGATTGTAAGTTTGTTTGAAATTTTCAAATCTAATTAGTTAAACTTCTGAATTCAAAAGTTGTATCAAATGTTTTCTAGTTCATGGAAAAGTACCAGTCTCTCAACTCAGTTTGTGTTAAATATTCACTATTTTATCATTAAAAAGAATGAATTGACGTTTCGAAAATAATCTTCTTTATTCTCATAAAAAGCAAACTTTAAGTTAAGAATATAATTCTGAAAAGAATATATAAAACTTTTTCAATAAAATAAAACTACTCTTAGATTTTGTCTTCAGCCCTTTCAACAATTTTTAAACATTTATTGTTATTTTTAATCACCCAGCAAAAATTACAAGCTATGGATGTAATGAGTGACACACAATAAAAAGTTTTAAGGAAAAAGAATTAGTTTTATATCATAAATAATTATTTTTATATTAATTTTTTTACCAAAACAAAAACGTTTTTAAAATGATCAACCCCCTCTCTTGTTGACATTATCGTGGCAAACAGTCTAAAAGAAGTATTAAAGATTGTTGAATCATTATTTCGTGAAAAATTCTCTAATACTTTATTAGTTTTATTTATCTTTTGGGAAATACTGTAAAAACTTAATCATTGTCATTGTCAAGTAAAAAATTAAATAAACTAAATCTCTGGGTATTGAATGTTTTTTAGTCAAGGCTCAAAAGTCGAAATCAAAAACTAAAGGTTGAATGTATTTTTATAGAAATATAGTACAGTGAAATATTTTTGTTAAACTGATAATTTTAAAGTTTAAATTTTGAAATTAAAATATGATTAGTTTCTAATTTTCTGTTTCTTTTCTTCATCTTTTCTTTATCTATCCAATGTTTTAAAAAAGACATACATTATCAAATCCGTTTAATTGTATTTAATGAGTAAACTGAACTATTATTAGATCAATAGGGCGCCATTTTATTTTATAAGTTAATTTGTGTTTTTTTGGAATACCTCAAAATTGTCAAACTTTTATAAATCTCTCAAATGTTTAAATTTTGTCAATAATTTTTCTCTGTCTATTGTACAAACCTTTTAACGATTCACAATATCACCAAGTTGTCTTAATATTGTTAATAAAGTGTATTGTGCACTAAGACTATATTTTAAACAGTATCTATCTGTCCTTGAATTATCGCTGTGAACTGAAATACTGTCTACATATAACACTCTCCTACCGGAGTAAAACAATAACTGGACATTATTATAAACTAGATTCAAACACAACACAGACACACACACACACACAGGACAATTTTTACTTAATCCACCCTCTTTTTGTAATCAAACGTAATTTGACAAAGTACCGCACGCCTTCGTACATTAGCGCAAGTTCTTTGAAAAATGCCGGATTCTCAGAAAATGTTTGAAAAGAAGACAAATGTTAAATGATTTCTTGTTTCTCTGTGAGTTTTGTATAAAAAAGTTCTTGCAAATTATCAGAATTGTTTTTATTTTACATATTCTTGGATAGGTCTGCGCTCCGTCTAATTAAAAAATAATCATAGTGTATAACACGTGCAAGCGCACGCTTGATCAAATTAGCAGTGATTAATTATTATTAGTATCGTCCCTACCAGGTTTTGTTATGAACTGAACTGATTATAATGATATAAAGATACAAACTTTCTCTCTCTTTACAATATAAATTCTCTTTTTACACCGATATATTAAAGGTCTATGACAGCTTGATGCAGACAGGGGGAGGGGGAGGGGGAGGATAGAGATAAAAGGGGTGAGAAATATCGATGAAATTAATTCAGGGGCAGGATACAGATGAAAGGGGATGTGAGAAATATCGATAAAATGTGACAGGGACCGGATATAGATGAAAGGGATGTGAGAAATATCTATAAAATGAGACAGGGGACCGGATATAGGTGAAAGGGGTTGAGATATGTTTCAATAATTTTTAAGACAGGGGTTCAGGATATAGATGAAAAGGGTGTAAGAAGTCTCAATATATTGTAGATACTGGAGGGGGGGGGGGGTGCAAAATTGTTTGTGAAAGGAAAGTATAAAAAAAGAAGCTATGTGGTTTGGATACAAGGAGAAAAGGAAAGGGAAAGTCAGTAAGATTAAGACAAGAAAGGATGGATTAAGCATAAAGGGATTTATTTGAATCTATATGTTGGATTCTCTGCAGGTTTGGTCAAAGAGATAGATTGAAGAAATCTGAAATGGTATTTTATATTACTGGAGTACAAGCTTAGAAAGATGAATTTAAGAATTCAAGGGACCGCTAACGGAATCTTTAAAAGTTATGTTGACATTTTACTATGATATCTTTTAACCCTTTGTCTTAGCAACAAGGTTCTTTTTCAGTCCTTTCAGCGCTTTTTACTAGACGTGTCACTTTGAATCTTTGATGAGATTATTAGAAGAATATTAATACAACTAACCTGGCTGAATAATATTGCTGTTCTCATCTTGTATCAGAGAACTTTTGGAAGATTTTCTTGAACCTGTACATTGCCAGCAGGTACATGTATTCCCTTGTACACCATGTTCTAGTTTATGTACATCAAGGACGACCTCTGGTCGACCAGTATCCAGGATAGCTTCATGTATCCTACTAGTGGTAGAAGGAACTAGTTCACTGATTACTCTATAGGTCTCCTCTTGTTCTTTCTCACTACTCTCCCTACTGTAGATTAAACGGTTCGGACTAAGTCTATGTTTTGAACTAACTCGATCCTTTTTATAACTTCTATGGTGTTGACTGTTTTTATCCCAACTGAAAACTCTATGGTTTGGACTATCTCTGTCCTGACTGAGGACTGCATCTTCAGGACATATTCTCTCCTTGTCCTGTATCCTATGTGTAGGACTGATTCTCTCTATGCTTCGACTAGATATAAAGGATGTTAAACTCTCCCTACTGTTTCTCTGACTAGTTCTGTTGACTATTATTTGACTATGTAAGCTATGCTTATCATGAATATCAGGTTCTATGATGATTTTACTAGATTGTCTGGATCCTTCTCCCTTTCTCCGACCCACTATCCGGGGACTATCACTTAAGAACCTCTCCGCAAATCCTGAGGACTGAGGCTGAACCGGAATATGTTCAATTCGTCCTCGAGGATGAAACTGGGAACCGGCTTGGAACTGAAGAGGTCTAGCATGAGCCGAACTTTTAGTTCTCCGGGTAGGGCGATTCCACGTATAGTCTGTAGGAGGAGGTAGAGGAGCATGCGCAGAGTTGGATCTAAACTCATCATAGTAGTATCTATTCCCGTACATCTCAACCAATCCTGGAGGATACCAACCAGGACGATCATATCTTCTATAAACTGGATACCGTGGATATCTGGGATATACATACGGGTTGTGGTAGGGAGGATGGAGCCCCCAGTCCTCTTCATGTTGACGATACCCGTACATTCTGACGTTCAGGTCACCAGCTCTGTGTCTTCAAGGTTTTCATTAGGATTGGTTGGAAGAACCTTCCAGACCCTGGAAACATTGTAAACCTTGCCCCCAATCAGCCACAACAATTCCGCTCACACTGGGCTCTAATTGACACCAAGTACTCATAATTCCTCTGGTTTATTGTCTGCAAAATATATTTACTTCTTTTGTTCCATATTCTCTAATAAACTGCCGACAGTGAAACAAATTCAGTTAAAGAGGAACAAATAAAAACAAAAGTAATCTAGGACGGATGAATTTAGTGGAACTAGGAACAAGATAAATTTGTCCCTGATCTGTGTCTATGGGTACTCCTAAGTATAGGAGGAGTATCTTTTTCTGATATATATTAAAGTTTTATCACATTATAGTTCAGTTTCTCTGATCCCAGTTGGAAACGATCACGAGGATTTATCTAACGCAGTCTTCGCTTTATCTTCATCCTAGGACAGGGTTCAAAGATCTGCATACATACACACTCAACCTGAAATAGAATACCATGAATGTTTGTTTGTTGATCTAGTTTATCATACTCCGTCCTCGTGTGTTGAAATATAATTTTCCGAATCGATCATAATCATTGAGCTCTGTGTTTTGTCAGAGCATAAGGAGTTTAGAACAATGAAAGTATAAATCAGCAGTGTATGATACCTGTCATTGAAAATACTACATATGCAATGTTTATTTGTGCTTAAACGGTGTGCAGCATGCACGTGCGCAGGAGTGTTCCTTGTAGGAAATGTGCGCGCGCATTTTTGTGTTTTTTTGTCCGTGATTTCTCAGTTGGAATGTCACGAGGAGAAGTAAGATTTACAATATTTTGCTCCATATTCTGCAGGAATAAAAGGTCTGGAGACCTAGAATCTCCTTTATCCTGTCTCTCAAGTCTAGCTCGGTTTATGTTTATCCGAACCAGGATCAAACCTTACATACATTTCATGGACTTTCATTCATCATTTTGTCCTTGATTTTTTTTAATCAACTTTAAGATAGAAAGTTATGATTTGTATACATAGTATTTGGAAATTCATCAATGTTAATGAGAAAATCCGCAAATACTTTAGTTTTATGGAGTACGAAGAAAATATGGCGACTTGAAAAGCAAAATGGTTTCGAAACAAAAGGGCGCAAACGTCTTAAATAACTACTAATCCATTATATTATCTTACTTCCCGAACCATTTACATATTTACCCAGCCTACCATCTTACATATTCGCAATAACTGAACATAGCATATTATATACACAACGTACTACTTATATCATCTACTACCTATTTAACCTGTAACCTATAAAGTACCTATTTCTCGAAAACACAAGTACAATTCAACGCTTGAACTTAAAACTTCGCCCAATAAATCCTAAACCTGTCTTCTGAAACCTATAATCAGGGAATAGAACCTGAAACCTGGAAATGATTAGGTTTCCGCAAACTCTACTTGATATTCACCTCCCGTCCCGGAGCAAAAAAGATCAAATTTGCAAATCCCTCCAATTTGTTGGAAGCCTAGGCTCAGGAGAATTGAAAACTTCTTCTTTATAAATTAAATTCTAAGTCCCCGAAGGCAAATTCTAGTGTCTTTATACTCAACCTATCTCATGAAACATATTGATATTAATCCTGTTCTGTTCTGTTCTGTCCTTTCTTTTACCTTCCTTTCTATACTTTCCTTTCCATACCTTCCTTTCCATACCTTCCTTTCCATACCTTCCTTTCCATACTTTCCTTTCCATACCTTCCTTTCCATACCTTCCTTTCCATACCTTCCTTTCCATACCTTCCTTCTAGCACTGAATAAACAGCTTTATCAATATTAATTGGTGTCTGAATTTCCTAGATGTTGTAAATAATTAGTTAGATATCAAATTGTATTTATCACTTAATTAATAAATAAACAATTTACCTTAATTTAGATTTATAGTAGGGATACTGCCCCCCCCCCTCCCTCTAATTTAGTAAATGCGTATACAAGGGCCATTCCTTTAAAAATAGATGTTTCGAAACTTTAGTTTCCCGGTAAACGGCGGATTAACGGCGGGGCTAACTATGAGTGCAGGGCAATTCAGCTAGTAAATAATAAAGCATAATAGCACAATAAAGTGAAAAATACCAGACTTTTCTAATTCGCAGATTATTCTGAACCCGTTTTTGGTTCGGTTTAAAGTACATAAAGTAATAGATATAAGGAGATGGTAATAGCGGTTGTTTACATTGATATTTCTCTCTTCTCTAAAATTATTATCACTTTTGGTTTCTATATAAACTGGCTCTTAGATTCCTAAATTTGAAAATGGAGTTAAACCTTGAAAAGCGACAATATCGCCCCCATTACTGGTGTCTATGTGAATCGGCCTTGTCTCTCTTTAAATCTGAAATCAAATGAAATTACAAGAATGTCCTTTTCTAATGTGAAGTAATCAAATCACTATAAAAATACCTAAATGAACTCTCACTAGAACTTGAGACTATACTTCAACTTATCTAAACAAATATGTATTTGCGTAATATATTCTTTTCACTTTTAACTAATATCATATTTAAAATTTAAATTCAATTTTTATTTTTTTGAACATTTATTTCCTTTTTTTCTTTCTAGCTGCCTTCAAGTGGTAGTTATATTGCGTAAACCTTTATATATATAATATATGATATGTATATTGTATATTTCAGTTTTTAACTTTACATTCTTAATAAAAAAAAGAATTATACTTCTTTTCCCCATGTACTTAAATCCGTCTTTATCCAGCACCTTCCGCTAGATCTAGCCCTAACCCTTTCAACACCTCGTTAAAAGAACGGCTGGCGAACAATGAAAGTGGTATTTCTATCCAAGCGATGTTTGGACACAGCTAATTTTGTATTTAATTTTATCGAACACTCTCTTGAACTCGAATATTAGAACCCCCTTTTCAATTTAAAGTTTATTTGAAATTTGAACCCTGTAGATAACTGATTTTTATACAGTAAACTTTTAATAAATAAACCTCCCAACCTCTCAATTCTGACTTTAATACGCACTTAATGAACTTTGCATAATTGCAAGATTACAAGCCATATGTATTCGTTTAATTTACCTAGATAGATAGATAGATAGATAGATAGATAGATAGATAGATAAAATGACCAACTGTATAGACCAGTAATGTCTTTCTGTCTATCCTAGAAGATGTGAAATATTTTTACTTTCACATTTCTACGGACTGGTGAAAATATTTCTCCTGGTGAAATTTTGAATTTCCATCTTCCCACTATAAATCCAGAATTGAATGACGCAGAGATTAGTTTGACGGATTTCTGACGCTTTTTCATCCTTGCGTAATGATTAATTGGCTAGATCCTAGACGGAGGAGTTCAGTATTTCAGATATATTTTAAATAGGAGGTATGCAGGGCGTTTCGCGTCCATCTTTTCAGGTAAAACTGCTTATCTTTTAGCAAGCAGTATGCACACTTTTCAGGTAAAACTGCTTATCTTTTAGCAAGCAGTATGCACACTTTTCAGTTAAAACTGCTTATCTTTTAGCAAGCAGTATGCACACTTTGAAAATATGTTTTTGTTTTTACTCCAAATGAAAATTGTATGAAAAAAATGTTTCCATTCTGAAGGCAAAAACTTTCTCTGGAGGGTCTTGTGAGTTACCACAAAAATGTTGCCCGTTCGGATTATAATTAAAATATACAGTAACAAATATATCATTTTAACTTATGTGCAAACACAGATATATTTAATATTTTCAAATGTTTAATTCCATTTTTCTGTTATTAAAAGGTATGAAGTATTGGGTTTAATTATAACGTTGAATATATGCATTATGCACTTTGCCGCGCACATGTTTTACACCATTAAATCTCTTCATTACGCCTATATTATTAAAATAAAATTTTACATTTTCAGAAGTTCATTTTTTGTCGAATTATTGACACGACTTTTCGACCTGGTAACTTTTCCAGTTTTTATCTTTTTTTATTACTAGCTCTTCAAAAAAAGATATATGCATGAAAACATAAGATAATCTGAGATAAAAATAAATCAACTTTAGTTCAAATTACCCCCCCCCCCTCTCTCTTCTCAAATATAATATTTCTAAACATTTTTAACATGCTCCTAAGTCTCCTTGATGACTTGTATGAATGGTTTGAGTATAAATTTCAACTTGTTGGTTTTTGTAAACATTTTCACATTTAAAAATTAATCTAGATGACTGAGCAAGTTAGCATTCTTCATAGCGTAACATTTTCCCCGTCATTTGCCCCGCTCTATTCACAACCCAAAGCTTCGCAGAGTGTGCATTTTAATAGAGGAATCAGTGAGACTTATTTCATCTTTATACAGGGTGTCCCACATCAAATTAGACCGCGTCAATGGGTCTAAATTACAATTTCCGGGATAAATCAGAAAATTTAAGAAGAATGAATCATTTTAAAAAATTTAATTAGGCTAATAGAATTTTTTTTTTGCAGAAAATGCTAGATTTTTTGAGTATTATGTGCGTATTTTGGCGTTAAAGATTGGAGATAATCTAATATGATATGGGACGCTCTGTATGTAATCGTAATTTTAAGTTCTATTTTCAAGTTTAAACCTGTCTCTTATCATGGATGAATTTGTTTCCCTTAAAAATAGCAGGACTGGCGGATCTAGGCTCCAAATACAATGAAGGAAATTTTCAGAATTCAACACTTTATAAGATAGAAAAACAACGATATCTTCCATAATGTTCCTCAGATAGAGATTTAAAGGGTACCGTTATGAATCAGACATGCAATTATCTAAGTGCAAGGTCATCTGAAATCATGTCTACCGTCCCTTAATGTTACAATTATAAAATAGTTGAACTAGGAGGGGGGGGGAAGGGGATTCCCACGCCTCCATATTTCTAGATTATAGTTGGACAGGAACCCCTGGGGTCTCATCAATCAAATAAGAATATTTTTCAGAAATTCAGTTTCTCCGCAAATATATTCAAACATTGTAAAGTTTACATATCTAATATACCAACTCTCCTACTTACATATCTAATATACCAGCTCTCCTACTTACATATCTAATATACCAGCTCTCCTACTTACATATCTAATATACCAGCTCTCCTACTTACATATCTAATATACCAGCTCTCCTACTTGTAATTACTTCATACAAAACTCTTTTTGTACTTTTTATATAAAGATCAAGTGAAAACTAAAATCAACATTTTCGCAGGTTTACTATGTATTTTTAAATTTTTTTAATTGTCTCAATTAACATTTTTTAGAAGTATGGGGTTAATCACAAAGAATGAGAATTCGACGACGACCTTAAACTCTTTTAAATTTGACGATCGGAAGATTGAATTTTAGTATTCCAACTTTAATAAAATCATTCAATGGGATAAATAATAATTTTTTAACGCAGAAAAAAGTACAGATGCATAAACTTAACAAAAAATACTAAATATAATTCAAAAAGTACAGATGCATAAACTTAAGAAAAAATACTAAATA